TTAGTAGAAGTCTGAAATGCGACTATGAATAGAGGTAAATTTTAAGTTGGTACTTAAATTTAAGTTGCAACTTTATTAGTTTCGACCTAGTTGCTGGACTATGAATACGCGCCAATGTATGAGGTAACGCCCTGTATGCAGCACTCAAGAAAACGGTCAAGAAAAAATTGCCATTATTTCGCGTGTGTGTCCAAGGAATTTTGACATTTTTGATACCTAACAACCTGTTGCCTCACTCTTTCCTCAAGAAATAATGCAACGGGCATATATTTCTGTTTCAAACCTGGGTTGCCTTGTGCTCTTTTTCACAAAAAACTTTAGAAAACCGTAGTAGAAAGCGTACTAAATTTCTTAAGAACGGCGTACTGCCTTAAGGAAATTTTTTTTTTTTGTAATTTAAAGTTACTTCCTAATTAATTAAGGAAATTTGACTCAAGAAAATTTCTTAGCCATTTCTTGTACGTCATTTTAAACGGAGTTTTTGCTTTTCTTGAGAGCCGCATACAGGCCTAAGAATGAAACATAACTAGCCATATAACTTAAATAATAAGCAGTTTTATACAATTATTTACCAAGGTGCGTTCATGAAAGAAGGCGGATAAACTGATAAATTTAAGCAATATCCCTTTATCACTTTAAATGAAGACCCCTTTATATTAAGTAAACTGAGGTTAAATTGATCAGCTGGCTGTCATTTGATTGGCTGATCTTAGTTTAAATCAAGCAGATCGGGCGTTTAAGAATAGTTTAAACCACGGCCGTGCACTGAAAAACCGTCCCTCAGAGGCCAACCTAACCGCAGAACTGCACAGGCAACCAACTGTCATTTTGACAGCAAGTTTAAGCAATGGGCACGTTCAGAAGGCGCAACAGCTCAGTAACTGTTGCGATTGCACCTTCTGAACGCGTTGTTTTGTACTTCTGATCAACTGAACAGTTGCGTGTTAGATGATCGTAATTTTTTTGTGATCATTTGAGACAACATGTTGTGTGTTGTTGAATTTGACAGCTAACGTATCAAGCCGTTCAGAAGACGCCTTACGATCACGAATTTTTTTTAGCAACGGTTGAAGCTACCCAATATGATTTTACAAAATTCTCGTTAATAAATGCATTAAATGGAAACATATTGTTATCTAGATGTTCACCATAGTTTACCTTAACTGAATTTGTAACAAAAAATCCCGAAATTTTTTTATTTAATTAAATATTAATGCGAGAACAATGTACGAAAACCCGGCGTCGCATTTATTTTGCTAGTTGTAGCTAATAGGGCTTTCGCACGTGGCGATTTTTCAGGCAACTATTAGTCCGAACGGCCTTTCAACTAATCGCTTCCAGCAAAGTTGGTCGCCAGCCAACATACTTTTTTTCTTTTTTACTTTTTTACTTTTATTTTATCTTTCAGCTTTGCTTAAAGCACTTCTACCAACGCTTGGCTTACCAAACTTACGCCAATTGATAAAATTTTGCGACTTAGGGCCTGTGCCAATTGATAGAAAAGTTCTATGGTGGAAAAACTTTTTACTATGGTGAGAAAATTTTACATTTCTGCTGTGCCAATTCGTAACTTTTTACTGCTGGAAATTTTTGACAGTTGCTTTGATGCACAAGAAGACTATCGAGTTTGCAATTTATAAAATGCGGCAATTATATAGAAAATATTTGCCTTTGATGATTTCAATTCTTCTGGAACTGAAATCCATGCATTTATTAGACCTTTTAGCAGTAATATTAGAAATAAAAACACGTCAAAACCGTCTGGTAAGTGTGTTCACAAAAATGGTTAAAACCGTGTACAATTGTTTCCAATAAAAACATATGTCGTTTTAGGGTATTATGTACATGCAACAAGACGTTTATTCCAAAATACTAAGCAGCACAATGAACGGCGATAACAACACTACAAAAATGTATCTTAGGTTGTCCTCTGCTTCGTTTCGAAAAATGGTAACTCACATTCCCAAAAAGCGCAACGGATGGTCAGTGGAGTACGAAGTCATTTGCTTAATAAAGTCTTCAAATTATTTATATTGTTCTTACTCACTTCCAGCCTTCGTTGCTGTTGGCGTTCTTTGAACTGAACCAAACATCCTTGTCAATGCGCTTTTCCAGAAGGATTCTGCGTTCTGAACTGCTCCCTGTTAAATTGTATTTTTAATTAAAGAAATACATAACGCCTTTTCATATGTTAATCTGAAATTAAATCTTACAAGTTATATAGCTTTTCTTTATTTTGTTTTGCCGGCGGGACCATGTTCTTTTATTTCCACTCGCTTTTGTTTTCTTTAATTTATGTGTATACGTGCGTTGTTCGTTCTTCTTCTTGATAATGCTTGTTGTAAAATTTTTCACTAGCCCTGCTGTATCAAACATTTTTATTCACCTCATAGCTGTCAAAAATTTACTATCCAGAGAGAGAGGCCCTTAAATTCATTTTCTATAATAGTGGTATTCATCTAAACCGATAACTTTATCAAGCAGATAATCTTATAAGTTTATGCTCTCTGTTACATGAACGACCCACACTCTCTTTTCGTTTACACATGCGACAATAGTCGTGTTTTCTTTGGTTATAAACCGCAGTGTCACTAACTTTATACTACTAGCACGGGGATACAGAAATTACAGAAACTACCTCACTAAGGGCCGGTTGTTCAATGTCTGATTAGCACAAATCGGAGGTAGAAGCTCCGGTTAAGCACAACTACTGCTTTATCGAACACATGTTACATGCATGATGTCGAAGTCGTCGATAGTGTAGTGGTAATTTAGGCCGGTTGTTCAATGTCTGGTTATCACTACTTGCCGGTTAAACATCATTATCGACGTTTTCGACATAACGCATATAACATATGATCGATAAAGCAGTCGTTGTATTTAACCGGAGCTTCTACCTCCGATTTGTGCTAATCAGGCATTGAACAACCGGCCCTAAATTGGAAAAAATTATATTTACGAGATATCTATTTAAATAAATGTACATATAACATAAAGGCTATTTATTTGAAGCAGGTTATAAGAAACAATGGCAGAATGTCTGTTTGTGTATGAATTCATTTGTCACGGCTACCAAACTTTGCGAATTATCAGTGAAACAAAACAAACAGACGGGATAATAATTGAACCAGATCTCTATCAGGATCATATCGTTGTTGAATTTGCGTGCACAATTTGTATGCGGATCCCGATTATTGCCTAAGAAAACATAGCTAGAGTTCCGACAGAGTTGCATTGTCTTCAGTTTATCAAGTTTATTCAGTGAAATCGCTGGATAAATTTATCAGAAATGTGTAAACGAGTTTCCATACAAATTTTGACAGTTCATTTATACGGTTTACACAATTATAAGTTTATACGGTTTACAATGCATTTATAAGGTTTGATGAATAACCTTAATGTAAATAACTCTTCGTGATGAATCGAAAATCGCCTCGTCTCAATAGGTATGGCAACTTTTTCACTTTCAACTTCTCATTCAACTTCGCATTCAATTTTTGTTGCCTGTAAAATCGCCGCGTGCGAATGCCCTATAAGAGTAATAAAAACATGGACGTGCTTGGTGTTGCCAATATATCAGCCTTATGCAACGTTTTTGCTGCATTTAAAATTCAACATTTAGAACTTTCGGACATATTTTTTCGAAAAGCTTTCATGCCATCGCATTTAGCAAATGCACATTTAAGCGAGTGCGAAATCGTATGCTTTTAACAAACAGCCTTGTTCCAATCGCTTATTCAGATCCGTATCTATCACGATCAGTTCTCACAGTGAAACTAATGTGCAAAAAAACCTACTGAAAAGGCTGTCAATTAGAATTTTGTTACGCACGGGTCGTCGGAAGATGTGTCTTCCAGAACGAATGCCTCTCTTGACTGCCATCGCATCCTCATCATGCATGCCCAGAATCACACGAGTACGCTTGCATTTAAGCACGAGCTAGCTCGCCGGACCATGGGGTGGTTCTTGTGATCCGTTACGCATGCCGTCCGCACCATACAAAAAAATCGTACCCGCCTCTCTCGCCGACAGGAGATATGACGCTCCCGCCCCGTCCTTACCCCTCCCGCCCAAGTCTGACCGTTTCTGCACCTCCAAAGTGCTGCCGCTATGCCAGCGGTGTTATCTGGCTGACCTTCCTAAACCCACCCTGCCATGGTCGACTACGGCCAATTATCGTCGACCCCAATCCTCAATGAGCCCCCTTTACAACCCCTACCCCATTCCACCCTTCCGTGTCACGTCCGTCCCTCTCGCAACTGGAAATATCAATGGCACATTATGTTCACCTTTAACAATTCATGATGATTTATTCACACCTTTCAGAGCTAATAATTCACGTTGGTCTATCGATATCTCTGATGTCTCTTACAAACAGGTCTATTCTGGACGTTACCGAAGATTTTGTAACCGGAAAATTTTATTACCAAAAAATGTTACTAGTTCTTGTCACCGCGATTCTAGAAACGTTGGTAATGCAGTTAAAATATTCAGCAATTCAGCTATGAAAAATTGTGCAAATTCTGGAATTGCATATTTCACGGGGTAATACTTTGTTACCAGCTTATGAGATGGTAACAAAATTTATCGGTTACAAGAGTACACAGAATGCGAAAAGGGTTTAAAAATTGACAGACACTTTAATTACCGGTTACAAACTTTTTATTACCAGCGCAGAATAGACCTGAAACTAACAACTTACGAGTTACTTAAAACTACCCGGGCCTTTTACAATCTAAGGGCCGGTTACTCAATGTCTGGTTAACACTAAAATCCGGTTAAACATAGTTATCGACGTTATCGACTCCCTGTTGTATGCATGGAGTCGAAGACGTCGATAACGATGTTTAACCGCAGATTAGTGTTAACCGGACATTGAGTAACCGGCCCTTAGTATTGAACTCAGAGTCAGTTTTGCTGAGCCAGTTTAAACTTAAGGTGTCTTCATCAAAAGTGATAAATTCTTGATAAGCGTAATAAATTGATAAATTTATCATTTTGATAAATGAACTGTCAAACTTTGTATGGAAATCTATTTAACCAAAGTTTATCACTTTATCAAACAACTTTGGTGGAAAAATGTATAAATTTCAGCAAATTCAACCCTTAAGGGCCGTTTACATACGACTTTCCTCGCTTTGCTTGACAGTTCGAACTTTGGCAACAAAGCGTGAAGCGTATAAAGGTATGTTACAATAAACGCTTTGACAGCTTCTGCGTTCTCCTTTTCCTCCATATTTTATCTGTGGAAAATAGATAACAATGTAATAAGATGCATAAGTAATAGCAATAATAGTTCGTATTTACCTTATTTTTGTCATTAAATGCAAATGCAAGCGCGCGAGAAAAGGTATATGTAGACAGCTGATTGCCAAAGCGCGCAAAAGTTGAGAGTTGCCCATGATTTTGCTTCGCTTTGCTTTCTTTGCCTTCTATTTGGCAAGGCTCAAATAAAATCATGTGTTGAGCATATCTGTCAAAGCGGAATTATGAAGCAAAGCGAAGCAAAAGTCGTATGTAAACGGCCGATTAAGATTGCCAGGTAGGCACTTTTGCTACGAACATATAAAAGGAAATGTACACAATGGCGCATATTCATAGTCATATTTAGTACTCAACTAAGTCGAAACTATTCTAAGTCACAACTAAAGCTATTCATAGTCGCCTTAGTTTCGTCTTTTCTGGCTAAGTTCCAACTTAAAATTTAGTTTCGTCTGCAGCTGCAACTAAGTCGTAACTAGGAAGAAGTATTTTATCAAATTAAGGGAAAACAGACAAAATATGTAAAAATTAAGTTGGTAGAGGGTGATTTTGATAATAATGAATAAACTCCAATTAAAATTTACAAAGATCGATCATTTTAATCGGAAGATGAAATTAACAGCCTTAGGGCCGGTTGTTCAATGTCTGATTAGCACAAATCGGAGGCATAAGCTCCGGTTAAGCACAACTACTGCTTTATCGATCACATTTTACATGCATGATGTCGAAATCGTCGATAGTGTAGTGGTAGTGATAACCAGACATTGAACAACCGGCCCTTATTATGTATGTCGAACGATAGGCCGCACGAACGATTCGTCTGTAGGCGATATCGTCACGGATTGCCATTTTGTAACTCTGTCGTTCGTCTTCGTCTTGTTCTTACGTCGATTACGTTGCAATCGTCTCGGTTACGTTGTATGATGTTGCCGGATGAAATTTTGATGTACTTCCAAAGAGTTTTTCTTAGATTTCTAATATTTTCAGCTTATTTCAATGCTTTTTATTTTAAATGGGCAACATCTGAATTGTTTACATTTTGGTTTTGCTTAAAAGTGTTTTGGTTGTGTTGCGGAAAGAAATATAAGGAAAATTAATTTTTAAAAATGTATGCTGCTATAGCGCTAATGGACGCCGAGGAATCCGAAGAAAGGGAAAGGCGGATACAGAGGAGGAGATTGCGAGACCACACCAATGTAATGGAACTACCTGAGACTGAGTAAGTTCAAGATTAGCAAATAATTTTTGTATGCTACAATGTATTCGTTTCTAGATTTGTTGCAAATTTCCGAATCAATAAAGAAATATTCCAATACATATTAAGGGCCGGTTACTCAATGTCTGGTTAACACTTATCTCCGGTCAAACATAGTTATCGACGTTACCGACTCCCTGTTATATGCATGGAGTCGAAGACGTCGATAACGATGTTTAACCGCAGATTAGTGTTAACCAGACATTGAGTAACCGGCCCTTAATGAATTAAAAGAGCACATGGCTCCATCACATAGAAGCACCCACCTATCGCACCAGCTAAAACTCGCGACTTTTTTAAGATTTCTTGCCACCGGCAGTTACCAAAAATCTGTTGGTAACGAAAATATTTCGTCGATGGGGCAGTCAACTGCAGCCAACGCGATCAGGAATGCCTAAATATTTTTTAGGACCATTTTTGCCAGAAATGGGTGAATTTTAGGAGAAACATCGATGAGGAAAATGCAGTTAAAGAATATTTCTTTGAGAAATACGGAATACCTGGGGTTATTGGTTGTGTTGATGGAACAAACGTTCGTATTAAGTCGCCAGGAAGTGACAACCACCATTTATACCTCAACCGCAAGGGTTTTTACAGTCATAGGGCCGGTTGCTAAAAGCCTGGTTGACACTAATCCCTGGTTAAACATCGTTATCGACGTTACCGACACCGAGTTATATGCATGGAGTCGAAACCGTCGATAACGATATTAACCGATGATTAGTGTTAATCAGGCTTTGAGCAACCGGCCCTTAGGGCCGGTTTCTCCATCTCTGGTTAACACTAACTCCCCGGTTAAACATTCTTATCGACGTTAAGGCGGATACAGAGGAGGAGATTGCGAGACCACACCAATGTAATGGAACTACCTGAGACTGAGTAAGTTCAAGATTAGCAAATAATTTTTGTATGCTACAATGTATTCGTTTCTAGATTTGTTGCAAATTTCCGAATCAATAAAGAAATATTCCAATACATATTAAGGGCCGGTTACTCAATGTCTGGTTAACACTAATCTGCGGTTAAACATCGTTATCGACGTTACCGACTCCCTGTTATATGCATGGAGTCGAAGACGTCGATTACGATGTTTAACCGCAGATTAGTGTTAATCAGACATTGAGTAACCGGCCTTTAATGTAATGGCGGTAGGTTAATGATTTACTATCTTTACAAGTATACATATACACAAACTGAGTTTCCTTACAGATATGCGATCACAACATGGTAATCACATTTGTTGACGCTAGGCATCCAGGGGCGAATCATGATTCATTTGTTTTGAATGTGAGTCACGCAGAACAGGAGCTAAAATCTGGGGCGGTATTGTCACTTGCGAAGCGAATGAATTTGGCGAAGCGAACGGTTTGGCGAAGCGAATGGATTGGCGGACGCAACTTAAATATACATTAAAGGCTCTGTTATGCATACTTGGCATTGCATGCACTGCTATACCATTTTTACGTAGAAATCAAAAACCAACAGACTTTTACGTATGTAATGCTGTGCGTTGGGTAACCGCTTACACGCGAAGCTCATTTAACAGATTCCTTATGTGACAACTCTCAAGCAATGCCAAGTATGCATAACAGAGCCTTAAGAGTGTTCTCTTTTACCAGCTTGTGCAAGTTCGTTCTCTCTCTCTTTTTAATTCGCTTCTCCAAACCGTTCGCTTCGCCAAAATCATTCGCTTCGCAAGTGATAATACCACCCCTGATTATAACAATGGAAAAACCAACACATGGCTACTCGGTAAGTTTTAAAACTTAAAAAGGCTATAAAACTATTACTGACAATGAAAATTTTTGTAGGTGATTCTGGTTACCCCTTGCAGCCATACTTGATGACGCCATTCAGAAGCGCAGCCGATGAAATTCAACGAATTTACAACACAAAGCACTCGAAAGCTCGTAATGTAATTGAGAGATGTTTCGGTGTTTTGAAAAACCGATTTCGTAGCTCGAGAGGGCTACACTATTCACCAGAAAAAGTTACACAAATTGTAAATGTGTGCTGTGCTTATTTGTATATTCTACAAACATCAAATTCCATTGGAGAGCCCAGATATGGAGAACCTTGTTAGCTACGAAGAAGAACTTGAAAACAGTAACATTTCGAACACAGCTGCCCTTATTAGAATGAGAATAGCAGAGAGTTTGTTATAAACGCAGTTTTATTATAAAATATGTGTGTCTAGATTTCAGGTACACCAGCAAAATTCATTTGTCTTAAAATTAATAAAATATTTACATAAAAATTCAACAAAATATCTTTTCAGTCTTAAATCCTAAATCTACATATAAACTAAGTAAATGCAACAAAATATCAATTCACACTTAAATCTAAAAAATATTTACACAAAGAAAAAAACAAAATATCACTTCAATACTCTCACAATAGTGGTATGAAAATTAATTCCGGAAGTACTCCAAAAATTTTTCAAAAATTGCAGATTGGCGTTCCACTGCAGCAGTTAATTTGTTTGTGGCATCCACCTGCAGCATTGATGCCTCTGCCATTATTTTCGCAGCCTCAGCCAGCACTTTAGCGGCTTCTGCATGGACTTTGGGGCAGATTCAGCCACTGTCTCTTGGAAGGTGCGCTTCCTATTTGTGGAACGTAACGTGTGCGTTGGTGTAGGACGGGTTGTCTGTGTAGTGGGAGTCACTACCCCACTGGTGGATGTTGGTTGTGCCTTATAGGAGATTGAAGGGTGGTTGTTTGTTGCCTTCGTTGGTCAAGTGTTGGCGATTCAGTCACAAGTAAAGGAGGCATTTCCTCCAACGACGAATGTCTTGAGGCCGCCGTCGAAGGAATGCCGAAAACTCTGCCGCTCGGGGCTGCTGACCTTGAAATAAAAACCAGGCTGTCTATGGCCTGCTCCATTTCGGAAAGCGGAGAGAGCCGGAATGGGCCACCACCGGTAGCAGTAAGGCTTCGTGTGTTTTCAGCAATCTTCTTTTTTGTCCGGCTTTTCAAGTCAGCCCATATCTTGAAAAATAAAATTCAATGTCAGTAAAATGGAAATAGTGCGCAAGCATTTATCTACCACATACAATTTATGCACTTATGCTTACTTTCTTCCATTCGACGGCCGTTCTTGTAGGTGGACCATGAGAATTAATTTTCCTCATAATTTCCTCCCACCGCTCCTCTACC